AGAGAATTTTTTAATATTTATTTTTTAGTTTTCAGCGGACACAACATCTTAGTTTGTATGTGGTCCTGAGGATCAAACCCGGGCCACAAGCATGCCAGGCGAGCGCTCTAACGCTTGAGCCACATCCCCAGCCCAATACCTTAATTTTATTTATTTATTTTTATGTGGTGCTGAGGGTTGAACCCAGGGCCTTGAATGTGCTAGGTGAGCACTCTATTTGTGAGCCACAACCCCAGCCCAGTTCAGATTCAGATTATTCTAAAATCTCATCACAAAGTATATCTCTGTAGAAGGCAAAAATCCTATCAATAGTGCAAATCCTATAAGCTAAACAATTAAAAAAATTTTGTGCATCAAAATTTCTTTATAGGGGCTGGGGCTGGGGCTCAATGGTAGTGGACTTGCTGGGCATGTGTGGGGCACTGAGTTCGATTCTCAGCACCACATATAAATAAAGGTCTATCAACAACTAAAAAATAAAACCAAAAAATTAAAAAAATAATTTCTTTATAACAAAATGAATTTTCTACACTTTCCCAAGTCTCTTATGTCCCAAAATTTTACAAGATAGAATGGTTTTTACATAGTAGAGCACAGCATCCTGAAGCATATAAGGATCATGTAAATAATGATTTCACTGGGAGTTAAGCACTTTAGACTGACTGCTATCATTCTTGGCAAGAAAAGGCTCCAAGAGAATCCCTGGTTGCTGTCTCCCTGCCTACAGTTAGCCATGCAACTCCTGATGGATGGGTTCCAACCCAGTAAGCATGAAAATATCTATTTTCCAAAACAGCAACATCCCAGAATGGAGAATCATGACTCTATGCAAGACCTTGAGCAGGGATGTAGACCATCACCCAGGCAGCTGGGGCAATCCTGTGGCTTTCTCTTTCTTCTATTTAACAAGGAATGGCTCTGACTTTAGTTACATGGTTGTATGAACAATTATTTATTTTGTAATAGGAGAAGGTTAGGGAATGAAACCTGTAGCACTCACCCTTCCAGTTGCTCCTCCCCTAAGATCTGACGAAGGTTCTTAAGAAAGGACAAGGAGACCAAGGCATGAGAATGGCGGATCTTCACATAGCCGGTCACCACCTCGATGAGCCCCATGAAGTTCTCCAGTTCTGAGGCAATGTTATCTACATGAGAAAGGGATGGTGTTACTTGGTGCCAGGGTGATGTACACACACAGTGTGGAGAGCAATTTGGTGGCAGGACTTGTTTTGTGGGAGCCTACTGAGATGTTCAGGAGCCAAGAATTAACTGCCATCCCCTGTAGCTGGGCGCAGAGATACATGCCTGTAATCCCAGTGGCTCTGGAGGCTGAGGCAGGAGGATAGAGAGTTCAAAGCCATTCTCAGCAATTTAGTGAGACTTTAAGGAACTCAGTGAGACCCTGTCTCTAAATAAAATACAAAAAGCGCTGGGGATGTGGCTCAGTAGTTGAGCACCTTGGGTTCAGTTCAGTTGATACCAAAACCCCCCCCCCAAACAAACAACAACAACAACAAAACCCCCAGAAAACAAAAATCAAAACTGCCATCCCCTGTCAAGAATATACTCTCCTAGCTGTAACTTTCAACAACCACTTCTGGGACAGGCCTTTGAAGCAGAGGAAAGCAAATCTTAGGAGGCTAGGTTCTACAGTTCCCAGGCTGATTAACAGAATGCAAAATCATAAATACCAGACTGCCAATTAGCTAAGGCTAACAAATCTAGGGAACGTCTTTTAAATATGCTCTGTCAACAGATAGTACTGCCTCCACAGTGCAAGGGCATGACTAAATAAACAACATTTTCTCAGCCTCATTAGTAACTGCCTTTGCTGTATTTCTAGTTCCTAAGATACAGGGATCTACATTTAAGATTCTATCTTATTAAGACTGAAAGAAAATACATCAGAATGTTAACAACAGCTATCTGCAGGTGATTTTTAAAGGCTCATTTCTGCAGCTCTAAGTTTTTTATAATGCTCATGTCTTACTTTTATAACTAGAAAATAGTTAGAAAAACAGTTGTCAATACAGATGTAGAAACAATATTAGAAATGATAGATTTTCTTTAATCTTGATTAGCCTACCTTTTCTTATTGCAAAAAGAAAACAAACTTGTTCAGCCTATGTCAAAATTATAATGATGACTATAGTGAATTAGATGTGGTTCAACGAATAGGATTTTATGAAGGTTTGCTTAATAAAAGGTTGTGTTTTGCTTTGATTTGATTAAAAAATACAAGAATAAGCATACTTTCTTGGAGGATAAGGCCTCATGTTTAAAGGCTTTCCAAGAGAAATTAAAGGAAAATTTAAATTGGAAAGATAACAGGTTGTTTGTAATTGATGTTTTAAGGATAGCTTTTGAATTTTCAGATGTGGGGCTTCCTGCCCTACATCTCTCAGTTAAGGCTTGGGAACTCCCTTCTGACAAAAATGTCCCATTATCCTAAATCCAAATGATTGTTTGTGTTGGACATACTTCTTCATTCTGCATGATCCTGTACCAATTTCTTTTCAAAGTACTTTTCCATGAATTTAATTCATAGATGCAATTTTTATCTCCAGGAAAGGAAGTTTAAACAAACAAACAAGAAAATTAGGTACTTAAAAGTCATGTTCTAGGGATGAATAGATTTAAAGTGAACTAAGAAACGTTCTAAGAGCAAAATGAACACAACTGTAGAAGAACCACAAAGAATTCTAGTTGCGCAAAACAGGATTATCTCCATGGTGGGGCAGTGGGTGAGTGGTGTAAAGAAGGGATATCAAAAAATCCCAAAGAACCAAACAAAAACTGATTTCTGCTATCTTTAAATTCTAAGAAAACAAATATGAATAGGAAGGGCAGCAGAATACAACAGACACTAGTATGACAGTATGTAAAAATGTGGATGTGTAACCGATGTGATTCTGCAATCTGTATACGGGGTAAAAATGGGAGTTCATAATCCACTTGAAGCAAATGAATGAAATATGATATGTCAAGAGCTTTGTAATGTTTTAAACAACTAACAATAAAAAATATTCTAAAAAACAATATTACATGAAACTTAAAAAAAAGAAAACAAATATGGTGGAAAAGTAAATCTGCAGAATAAATTATTAGTCACTTCTCTCTTTAGACTTTTAGAAAATTAAAAAAAAATCTTTTTTCTTTTAATATTGTTTTGGATGTCAATGGACCATTATTTTATTTATTTATATGTGGTGCTGAGAATTGAACTCAAGGCCTCATGCATGCTAGGCAAGTGCTCTGAGCCATAACCCCAACCCTCAGAATTTTTTTTTTTTCCCAAATGACTTATAAATATATTTCTTTCAACTGTGAAGTCTTCTTCTTGTATTTATTCTGGCTTATAAAACTATCAGTACCTTGACCAAGTGGTCTCAGTGGTAGAGAATTAAAGGTACCATTGATAGAAGCCCTTGTAAATCAAACATCAGAAGGGAAAATATTGCAAGATAAATCACTGGGAAATGCTTTGCCCAACTGCAATTTAGAAATGTCTTACCAGGAATGCCATTTACTGAAAGAAAAGATGGTTCTACAGGAATGAGACCAAAGCTTTACACATATGACTCAGAATCAATTGTAACATTTTTGCTCTCAGAAATAAACTGGAAGATCTATCATTGTTTTGTATTTAATAAAATTTAATATAATATTAAACTCTTCCTTTTGCTCAGTCTCAACATATTTAAGTAACCAAAATTCTTTGGACTTAAAAATATGTGGATCTGGCTACAGCTGGGCTAGCTGAGTCATGCCTCTCTGATCCCTCAGTCTCTTCTGGGGTTTGTGTGTGCTGGTACGTGTTTCTCCTGCGTAAGAGACTAACAGCGAGATGAGGGATGACCCCTTTTATAGGAACAAACTATTCCAATGGGAAACTGCCTTTCAATCTTTTTTTTTTTTAAGTCTTTGAAGGAAACTCAAAGGAAAGAGGTCATGTGGGAGGTTTATGCACCAAGCTATTTTTCTTAAGTCCATTATTTTAGTTGTAACTCAGAGACAGGTTCAGGAAAAACATCAACAAAAGAAAACCAAGATATCCATTCATCTATCCAGTGAGGTGGGATACTTACTGCCTCGTCGGATATTAATGAGCAAATTGCCCTTGAAGATGGTACATCCTTGGAGCATCTGAGCAGAAGTAACAGAATCAATAGTCTTTGTTTTCTTCTCTTCTTCACAGACTTTGGGGCAAGGACCTTCACAAGGGATGCAGTACATGCTGTTGAAGGTTCAAAAACATAGAAAACTTAAGTCTGCCTCTTTGCATTAAAACTTTTTAAGTATAGGCTTTTAGTTATTACAGCATGCATTACAAAAAGCAACTGTTTTGAAGTGTGCACGTGGTTACATGGCATCACAGTCTCAAGCCCACCCACAATAAGCCACTCAAATTGCAACCAAAAGGGGAAAGTGCCTGCAAAGGAAAAGCATGTTGCTTGTTTCCAGACAAAATGCGTGATCCATCCTGGAAGCATGTGTGTATCATAGGCTGTTAACTGGTATGGCAACTGGTTCCATGTGGGAGACACAAACTTTTAGAAAGGAAGCTCTGGGGGCTCTGGAGAATGGAGCTACTCTCTGATGTTATGGTCCTCACTTGCACACCTGGAGTAGTAGCAGGGAGAGTCAGCAGGAACAGCAAAAGCACTGCAGTGCCTTTGCTACAAACAGGAGTCTTATTCCTGAGGTCAAGTGTCCAGCAAAGCTCAATGATGGATTTAAAAAAGCACAGATCCATTATTTTCTTGTTAAAGCACAACTGAAATTATTTCTTGATAGTGTTTTGCAGAAACTTGTAAATTGATCCAAATGTTGTTTTTGCTATACACACAATAAAAGCAGGGAAATTCCATTACATTGTAATGAGCTCCCATTTCAAATATTATCCTGAACATGTCATAAACCACCAAGAATCAGAGACAAGCAAGACTGGCATTTTTCCTGTTTATTGACCATTATTTGGGAAATAGCAGACAAAATGCTAACCCAGCAGCTTAAGAACCTTTGGGATCTACAGCTATATATAGAACCAGGGTCAGAAAGTTGGGTCAATTTCCAAACAAGATAAATGATACAACCTTATGGGACATTTGTGTAACAGGATGGTAAGTTGGAGAGTCACTATATTTACATTATTGTTCTTAAATGATCTTTTTAAAACTATATGAAAATAAGTCAAAATATTCAAGAAAAGTGGCATTAAATCATAGCTATTTTTATTAAATTCCTTCTCCTTCCCCAGAATATTTTATATCTAAAGCAAAGATGCAGGGTTTTGCTTTGTTTTGTTTAAAAGCTTGCAGGTAAACAAAATTTCTCTATCATCCTCCTATTTCATGTTGGGAAATGAGGTCAGGGTCTCCAAAGTATCCTGTAGGAAGTAGACCCACTCAAAGGGGGAACAGTCCTCCTTCCTCTAAATTTACACTTAAGCATTCTCATTTCCAGCTTAGGGACTAGCTTCCTTTCAGTTTTTTTTTTTTGTGTGTGTGTGGTCTTCTGTTGTTTCTAATTTACCTACATAGCACATAAGGCCCCCAACTATCTCTTTTAAAAAAACTTATTTTAAAATAGTTATAGATGCACAGTATAGGATAGTACAGACAGGACCCATGTATCCTTCACCCAATTTCCTCTAATGGTTACCACATCTTACATAATGATAATGAAATATCAAGACGAGGAAATTAACACTGGCACAATATGTGTATAGAGTCCTCTGTTGTCTTACCACTGTGGAGACTTGTGTAATCCCCACTGGAATCAAGAAACAGAACTATTCCAGCACTACACGGATATCCCCTGTGCCACCAATTCATTTTCCCCACCCCAGTTTCTAATATCCCTAACTCCGAGCAACCACTAATTTGTTCTCCACCTTTTTAAATTTTATCATTCTACGAATGTTTGGAATCATGTAGTATGTCACCATTTGAGATTGTCTTTCTTTACATAGCACAATGTCTTTGAGATTCATCCAAACTGCTGGGAATTTCAATGGGTTTCCCCTTTTTATTGCTGAATAATATTCCACAGTGTGGACATACCACAGTCTGCTTCACCATTTACCTATCTTAGGACTGCTGAGTTGTTTCCAGTTTCTGTCTATTACAGAAAATGGTGATGTGAACAACTGTGTGCATGGTTTTGTTTAGATATATTAAATGTCCAGTGTTGCCATTGCTGGATTTTAAAGTAAGTGTATATTTGGTTTCTCTCCATATTTTATTCAAATAGAATATATTCCTTTGTTCAAATGTCTAAAAATCATCTAGCACTTAAAAATTTTTTTGTAAGAAAGTGTTTTGATAATGTACTTATAGATTGAGCTTCTTCAAATTCATTTTGGTACAGAGTATAAACAGTATTTGAAAAATATTATAAGGTAAGGGTTAAACAGGTCTCAAAGACTGAAAAGGAGCATAATGATGTTTTATGTTAAAACAGAAAAGGTAGGTCTGTAGTTCTGAACAGACTATAAGAATGGGTAGGAAAATAATTGCTCATCTTTTAAAGAATACCCTGCAGAGAAAGAAAAAAACAACACTGCAAACATAGAGTGTTCTCACTCTGACTGTTGCACTGGTGGTTACAGAATGACTGAATGCATCCAGGTAGCATAAAAAATTACATGTACAGATCAAAGGTGACACTGTATTAAATCCATGGACTAGCTATCCCTTTCCTGACCCCACCCCAGGAAGGAGGTGGTGTCTGAATTATAGCTGAGCCTTTACTGGGCACCAGGCACTTCTCCTGGACTCCAGATATGCAACAATAAAGTCCCTTTGTGTCCTAAAGCTGTGCTATAGCTTGGACCAGAACCTCCTGCAAAGGTCTACCCTGTTGAAGGATTAGTTTTGAGGCCACAGGGAAAAACTTGGTAGAAACTTGAAGATGTGAGGCCTATTGGAAGGTCTTCTAATCACTGAGGATATGCATTTGAAGAGGAGATTGGGCCCTAAACCCTCTCCGGGCTCATTTATTCCTGACCACAAGGTCAATGGCTTTGCTACACCACACACTCCTTGCCATGATGTGCTGCCTTGCCATAGGTCTAAAGGCTACCTGGCCAACCAACCATGGATTGAAACCTCTAAAACTGTTAGCCAAAGTAAATTGTCTTTTATAAGTTGACTATCATTTTGTTATAGCATGTAACATTTTGTTATAGCAATAGAAAGCTGGCTAACACTGGCTGCCAGTAAAATGTAAAATGCAGTAGATTTTTAGTTATAGGTGTACACAATACGTTCATTTTTAATTTATTTTGATGTGGTGCTGAGGATTGAACCCAGTGCCTCACACATACCAGGCAAGTGCTCTACCTAACACACGGATTGAGCCACAATCCCAGCCCCTTATTTTTGATATAATAAATACACATATATTTTTGGCTTATTGGAGTTCCTGGCCCACTTATCATTTTGAAGTAGTTAATTTTTTATATTACAATGTTCATAGAAATTATAACAGGCCAAAAGTTGTGTTACACCTAGTATTATGAAAGGATAAGAGTTTTATCCTTGGTTTGAATGGCAGCCTGCAGTAGAAACAGCATCACTAAATATTGCACTAGAAACAGAACCTTCTTTAAGAGAAAAAAATAAAAGGAAGACCTATTTGCTATAGTTTACAGATGCAGACTGCAGCAAGTATTATACTTAAAACTAATTTTATTAATTTTAAAACTAATTTCTAATGGTATTTGTATTTGTAGAATATGATTGATTGATTGATTGCAGTTCAGAGACTCAAATTCAGGGCCTCACACATGCCAATCATGCACTCTATTATTGACATACATCAATAATTCCCTAGTTTTATTCTGAAGAATCCAGATACACAAGGGTCCTCAGGTGTTTATTGTATAGGAATCATAAATCCCATTGGTACAGAACTTTCCCAAAAGTTCTTTACTCTGCTGCAGGGGAGGAAATAGTAACCCCAAACTTCTATCTTCTTTTGCTTCCAAAGTTTTATCACTATATTTTGTAACTAAATCTAATTTCTCACTTTCAAAAACATAAACTAATGACAAGTTATATAAGCCTAGTGGCCACAGATAGGAGAAATGTCATTTGTTATAAGGAATTCTACTTCCTAAGTGAAATTTCAAAGTTTAGGAAAGAAACTAAAGGCCACAAAGACTACTGAGGGAGTCAGTGGATGAGAGAGTAAGAGAAAGGAGAAGGTAATGGGAGACACAGTTTACTTTAAGCTACTGCTTACCCTCAGCAGCTGCTAGTTCATGCACAGGGCCTATGCCTGCAGTAAGATGTACCAAGCCTGTTCATGGGCCTGGAGGATCCTGTAGGGATGTTTCTTTCCCCTTGCTCTCCCAAAGCTTTCCTTGAGCTAGTGTTAGTAGCAACCTGAGGACAAAAATCTAAAACCACAGGCCCCTGCCTCTCAGGTAGCAGTGTGGCAAGTGTACAAGGAAAAGATGAATAAATTCCAGGCATCAGACCCAGGAAGCTAGGTACTTAATTTCAAATGGTTGGGCAGTATACTTTTAAAACAAAACATAAATTGAAAAAGCAAAACACACACACGTGTGGGTGTGAGGACCTGCTAACTGCTACCAGATTCTCATAAAAAAATGTAAGTTATACTAGCCCTCTCAAATGGATCCAGTTGGGTCAATGTCTGGAAAGTCCTCACCAGATGTGACAACTGGCAGAGAGCACCCTTGGTAGCCCCTGGGACTTGCAATGGACACTGACCTCTGGGTGCCGTTGCGGATGAAGCCTGAGGGGCACTCCTGCATGCACTCGCCGTCATGGATGACAAAGCCCTCAGAGTCACTGCTCTCAGCGCTGAGGATGTTGGCACAGAAGTCGCGCTTCACGCAGCGCCATCCCTCGAACCTGTAGGTGTCGGGCGGGCAGGCAGGCACACACACGCCCTCATAGAAGTAGTGCCGGCAGGCGACACAGGCTGTGTCATTGTCGGGTGCGTGGCAGCTGCCCAGGCATTCCTGGTGGCAGCATTCATTGTTCTCGGTGCAAGCTCGCTTTCCGCACACGCTCGGGCACACTGTGGGGACAGAGGAGAATTGGTGAGACCCAGCAGGGCCCGTGCAACTGCCTGCTGCATCACCCGCTGCAACAGTCCACACCAGATGGCCTGTGGAAGAGGCAAGCACACGACCTTCCATGACATCCCCACAAAGAGAATCACTGTCTTTTCATCCAGTATTAGAAGAGCAGACAGCACTGGCAGGTTTCAAGTCCAGTCTCTTTTATGTACTCCTTGTTTGGAGCCACTGGCTTCTAATGACCTTGATCCCCCTCTTTTCTCATCTGTAAAATGGGGGTGAAAAGGTTCCTGAGGCCTAGGTGAACATGGGGAAGCCCTCTAGGAACCACAGGGTTTATCAGAACTTTAAAAGGCATGGTGCTGTCTTACATTTCAAATATGGCAGTACCCCCTTACGCACTGTAATACTCCAAGATCCCCAGTGGTTTCCTGAAACCCTGGATAAGTTTTTTTTTCTTTTTTATTAGATTGTGGGGGGTACACCTCCTGTGTGTTCCCTCTGGAAACAATTCAAAATCCTTCATGTGTAGAAATGCTTATTTTTAAAATAATTAAACCACAATATAGGAAAGATGGTGCCACTTGGGTTTACAAAGCAGCTTTAGAAGTTTGTTTCTGCTTAAACCACATAAAGTGTTTACTCTGAATAAATGATTATTTTAACTCAGAACCCAACCTATTAGGTAACTTAAGTCACTTTGTCACATGGTCACTGTCAGGCCCCTGAGCCCAGGGGACCACAGGAATTTAGAGTCCATTTCCCCTACTCAATCCTCTCAAGTCAAGGGAAAGCAGTGCTTAATGACCACAGATCCACAATTCACATCTCAAGGAGATGAGTTGGCACTCATTTCCATAACAATGCTGTAATGATCACACTCTATGGGCTGTTAGCCTTACTCCTAAATAACATATAAATCAACAAAATATGAAATCTGGTTTGTATTATGTGTGTCCTACTTTTTGCTTGAGTGGGAAAACAATACAGAATTACTTAAATATGTATATTTTTGACTCTGATGTACAACATTGAATGAAGGTTCTAAATATTTTTTTTCTTATAAAAACACATGCTTGAAAAAAATATCAGAGAGCATAGATGAAGGAGTATGAAGAAAGCACAAATCTATCTGCCCACAAATGCCCCCTTTATTATCACCTCCAATGGATCCTTTATATGTGCATGGACATATAAAGACAAATACAAGGATCAAGCCATTCAGAAAGAATGTTTGGGCCATTATAGAGTGAATTTCATGATTGTTTAATGGTAATGTTACATCCCATTGTGGAGTCTCCTATTATCTTCTATTACTATTATGAACATCCTCAACATTTCATTAGGCTCACTTTCTAGGTTGAATCTTACCAAGTCAAAATTTCCTCTGGAAAGTTTATACTAACCTACAAACCTACTAGTTGCATTTAAAAAATTCTGTTTCAATGCAAACATGGATTCAAAAACCAATATCAGAACTTGGGACATTCAAACAAATGTCACCTCTGAAGAAAACTGATGAATTCTCATGATACTGTCAAGTTTAAAATAATCTTGCAATTTTCTCCTTTGAGATCATCTTGTAGCAGGAACATCAGGTTACTTTCCATTGTTTTTTTCTTATGCTTATGCTTTTTGGCAGTTTTTAGTTAGGCATACATATTGCCATGTCCATAGATCTTACATCTCTAGCCTTCATTACAGTTAGAAGTGGCTATGTGTCTTAAGTTCTGCCCAGTGAGTTATAAACAAATATTCTGACTGAAACTTCCTAGAGGACTTTTTAAACAGAGGGCATGCCCATTTTCCTCCTCACTGGTTGAAATGCAAAAATAATGCAAGGAGCTTATGCAGCTATCTTGAATCATGAGGTAGCACTTTCAGAAGGGTGGAGTGATATAAAAGAAACTTGGTCTCTAACACTGAACTGCTTATTTCTGGACTTCTTTAGGTGAAAGGGAAATAAACTTTCATTTTGTTTAAGTGACTGCTATTATATGCAACTAAACTAACTGAACCAAGACACTCCTTTCAAACTATGTAGAGGGGAAAAAGAAAACCATTCTTGTTGGTTAATGTATGTCATTTTGTAATTATGTGTGTCATTTTGTCCATGACTTCTGGCTATTTAAAAAAACTCACCTATCCAACAAATAACAAGGAGTTAACTATTTCTGATTACATAAAAAATGTTACAGGAGCTCCTAAAATATTGATATACATATACTGTCAACCATGATGATTATTTTGAAGAGTATAACATGAATTTAATTTAAAGCCTAGTATATTTACAGCGAACACAAATACATACTCTCTACAACCTCACCTTTCACTCAAAAACACAGAAAAATAAAATAGATTAAATGACTATTTAATTTCAAATATATCCATTATGGAGGTCACCTAGAGGCTCAAGATCTAAAGAAACATTGATATTGCATATGCTGACTTCAGATTTTTAAATTGATCCATCTATTCTTTATTTATCTACTTAGCAACAACTCATTGAGCATATGCTACACCTGTGTTCCAGACCAATGTGTATATGGATCAGTCTTCAGGGAAGGCATAGCACACCAGATAAGTAGGAATGAGTGAATGTGTATTATGTTTCTGGGAACCCTGGATGCCAGGAAGATTTGCAGAAGTGATGAGGCTGGAGCTGAAAGATGAAGAGGAGCTGAAAGACGAAGAGGACAGCAATAAAGAATACCACAGAGAGCACCACATGTAAATGTTTATAAAACCAATGGAGTTGCTATGGTGGTAGAAGTAGATACTCATGGCAAAGAGGGATGGGGACCAGTCACATATTGCCAAGAGGAAGAGGGGGACATGTCAGGGAGGCACTGAAGGCCTATCCATTGGTGGACAATGGACAATTCCTGAAAGTTTCAGGCAGAGGTCAGAGTTTTATATTAGAAAAAGTCATCTGTCAGAAGCACAGTGGGTATGGTGCTCAGGGAAGGCAGAACCAAAAAAGTGATCAGGCAAGCAGACAGACTTGCCGTCTATTATGTTGACCCTACAAAGCTCATGCAATATAATGGATCCACGAGGATCAATACAACTGGCTGCAGAAAATGATGCTCACAGTCTGGCTTTCCAGGTATACCAGCAGTTGTAGGCACATACTTCATTTAGAGCTGCTCTTCAGCCATCTACCCACTATCCTTTTTTGTTGGAGGAAGGGAAAATTAATTATGAATCTTACAATCACCATCAGAGACTAACTGGGACCAATATTAACTTGCAGAACTCCTTTTTATTCACTTACAATGCAAAGAAAATGCCATAAAAATGATGAGTAACAGACATTAAGTTCAAATAGCGATTCACATAGTAGTAAAATCACAAGAGCATTTAAAAGAATAGAAAAATGTCCCCCTGAACTCACTTGCAATCAGTTATAACAAATGTAAATATTGGGCTTTCCCAGGATGAGAAAGAAAAGCAAACAAATAGCTGACAAAGTACCTGTTAGATATATTTTGCATTTCCAACACCCTTACCCCTTCCACAGGAAATAGCATGTCTGAGCAGGGGTCCACTGAAATCCCCCAAAGGGATAAATTAAAGGGAACTGAGTGCCACAAACAACACATAAGCTGGAGAAGTCAGGTTGGTTCCAAGTAACAGGAGCTACTTCCAAATAAATTTCAGAAAAGTTTAACTAGTTAAGATCTTTTTTTTTTCCATTTTTTTTTTTTTTTTTAAAGAACAATCCCTCTTCAAAGAATCCCAAATCAATGGGTTCCTTTATACTAACTGGTGCAAACTGTGTATAAATACACATCCATTCTTTGCAGGGAAATGGATATGAGGTGTGATGAGGAGAAGAGGAGACTATAAGAAGGAAAGGTGACAAACTCCATACATAAGTAGTGGCTTCAGGCAGGAAGCTGGTGTTCCTCTCTTTGAAGCACACTCCAAGAGGATTCCAGGAAGCAGGCAGGAGAACACGAGGAAGTCTGGGATTACAGAGTACTGCAGCCAGCTCCAGAAGCATACTGTAAATTTTGCCTCATCTCAATGTATATAAATATTATTAGTGTTCAGGCCTATTAAGGGATTTCTTGAAAAGCCCCAGGCAGTGTGTCTCGCCAGCAGATGGATGGCTGCTCCACATGAGTGCCAAAACTTAAAATTTAGTACAATAACCAAATTTCCCAATTATGGTGCTATGGGGGAAGGAAGAGAACCTTTTTCCTAGCTTCTGAGAATAAGGACCATTCAGAGTGTGATTAAAGGCATCTCAACTTTTAAAATTGAGAGGAATATAAAAACTACTATAAACTAACAAATGCACAGAGGACAAAGCAAATTGATTTTGCCCATGAGATCTTTCTATTCCTTGGAATTCTTACAATGATCAACAATAAAAACAAAAGCCCATCTAAATAAATGGGAAAAGCTAACACCAATGTCCCACACCAACCATTGAGTAGACTAGTTTAGGGGCTCGATCATATAAAAATGAGGCTATACATTTAAAGAGTCATTCTCTTTACTTTGGGAGAAGAGGAAAATAGGTCACTAACTCTCTCCCTCCCCAGAATCCTTTTATTTATTAAATTATTTCCAGGATTTAAAAAAAATTGATTTTGCTTTTGCCAGTAAATTCTTCAGTGATCTTGAACCCAGAAAAATCATTTTCTTGTGGCGCAGGGGTAATGGGCATTGAACTCAGGGGAACTGGACTATCAGCCACATTCCCAGCTCTGTTTTGTATTTTATTTAGAGACAGGATCTCACTGAGCTGCTTAATGCCTCACTGTTGCTGAGGCTGGCTTTGATTCTCCTGCCTCAGCCTCCAGAGCCACTGGGATTACACAGGTGCACCACTGTACACCACCAGAGAAACCATTTTAAAAACAATGTGATAATAAAATGCTCTGCTGGAAGAAAAGATGGAAGACTTAATCTCTTGGCAAGGAACAAAAAGTGAAAGGGCCACTTAACCATACATTTTTAAATTTTTTACAATATAAATAATTTT